GATATAAACACGGCCGAATTTCAGTCGGACAAAGTGCTGAGAATCAACTATTAGATCAAGACAGCATTTTCTCAACTGTTTGATGCGACCAAGCCGGTAACTCTGCTAAAAGTGCGAGAAGCCGGATGGGATGCCCATTTCTTGCCGTATATATGCAATACATCTCGCATGGCCGATCCCCAAAGCTTGAGGCTTGTTCCGTGTAGTAGTTCGCCATCAGGCTACACTCTAGCGGATGATACCGGCATAATTGAGCAGATAGCCCTGGAGTTGCATCAAGATGAGCTCGATGCTGTAGATGAGCAGATTCTTCTTGAAATCGGAGCCCGATGCCATAACGACCTCCGTAGTGTGTTTATCGTCCACGACAAACGTATGTTGGGCTTGATTCGCCAGGAACTCGACAATCTAGTTGCATCAGGGGCTTTGTCAGGAGAACAAGCGGCTGTACTTTGTCGTGGGATTGCAGAAACGCATATCCCGGGCACAGAATCGTTTCAAAAAATCGCCGACGAGCCGTATAATAAGGATATGTGGCTGGTAAAGCCGTGTCTCTCGGGGGGTAGTGACGGAATTACTTTTGGTAAAGATGTCGACCAAGAGACATGGAGAGCATTGGTCAACTCGAAACTCGACGATCACCACAACCTTTCCGCATACCAGTCCCAAGCCTCCTCCCAATCACACTTTATCATTCAAAGATACCTCCACCAGCGAAGATTTACATTCTCGGTCAAGCCAGACAGCACAGAGGACGCGCCTCAGACCGTCAATTGGTTGATAGTCGGTGCCATGCTGTGTTTGAATAACGTCTTTTTGAAGCCAGGATGGAGGGCTTCGCCATCGGAGATAACGAGGCTTATCCCTAGTGGCCAACTACTATATAGCGTAACAGGTAATGAAGAGCCTCCATCGGCCGACTAGCCCACGGTAGCCCGGGGGGGGGGGGTTAGTCAAAGATATAAATCACCGGAGCCCCACTTGCATCTGGCGGCAGGTTTTGGTATCGTAAGGAGATCAAGGTGCTGAGGGATGGAGCAGCAAGGGCTGTTGGTGGTGGTGGCTGGATTTCTTTATGCTTATGCTGGCAAGAGCGGGTGTAGAAGTGGTTTCGTCAAGGACAGCGGGGTTGTTTGTATCGCTTATACAAGTAGATGCACGTTTGAAAAGTGGGCCAAAGAGTCCAGGTCGCTTCTGTTTTGTTGTTGAGGAAATAGTCTTGCCTCGGCTTGCGAGGCAAGCGGGTAGCTCTCCGCAGAACAGGACATGGCGGTGTAGGGGCACTGTATATGTAGGCCCGCAACTGCCCACGGGGGGGGAGCAGACGTTTGTTTATTCCCTCTTCCCGCTTCATTCTTGGCCACGACCTTTCTTCTCCAACCCTGCCGAGTAAACATCTTTGCTAGATGCATCTAGGTCTGGCCAGACCTAACCTAGCAGCGGGGTTAAGCCCGGTAATCAATCATCAAATCTCACTCGGTACATGATATGACATCTCCACATCCACCAACAGCTGGCGCGGTCCGCAGCCATGCCATTGGTATTTCCTAGTATCAACGCGAGCTTGTACATAGGCCGCGGTTCCCCTTCTCTAACCAAGGCGGGGGGGGGGGGCACATTTCTCCCCTTGCATCCTCCGACGTCTCTCGTGGCCCAATTGGTTGCGACGGTTAGGCATGTACAAGTAGCACTATGAGGACGGCCTGAATACCCCCCCCCCTCCCCTGCCCTGCCCGTGCTTGCCGCAGGGGGCCAGCAGGCTTTGTGGTGCCAAAGTGTCCCCGCCCTACTGGTGTTTGGGTTTTCGTTGTGTAGCTTATACACGCCACGGGTGCACGTGGGCCAGCTAGCTGTATAGCTGAGCTGGTTGCTGATCGGGCTTGCACATTGCCTACATATGTACATACATGTAGATAGTTAGCTAGTTTGTGGTATGTACATGTATCTACATGGCTCAAGGGGGCGGGGGGGCTTCAACCGTCAAGCGGCGGGGAACAACGCTTTCTCGTGCTCTTCTACGGGTTACAAGTCGGTGCCACTCACTAGCTACGTGTACTGGATGGAGTCTTCATTTCTATTCAGCACTGGTATGTATGTGCATAGAGAGCACACGAAAGTACACACAAACTGTACCTATGGGGGCCCGGAGGGAGAAGAAGCCTGTGCTCTGGGATTCTATATGTGTGCAGAGTAGCTACTGTATTATCTGTGTATCATATCATCATATCATATCATATCATCACATCGCATCACATCATCTGCCATCTCCAGCCAATCCCGAGTCCTCTAGGGTTAGGTTAGGGCACCACCACCACCACCGTCGAGATTCCTCCCGAGTCCCAACATCCCCAGATCAACCTCCCCCATACCATACCACACCACACCACACCACACCATACCATACCAACCCCCAAAAACTGAAATGTCGTCAACACCGCCCACCACCACCGCCGCCGCCGCCGCCGCAGCCACCACCACAAACTCACGCTTCACGCCAAACACCGAGACGCTCGAGGACGCGCTCAAGACGCAGACCGTGGGGCTGGTGCACCTCTCCGACTTCAAGAAGCGGCGCGTCGAGCTCGCCGAGCAGCGCGAGCGCGAGGCGGCCGAGAAGCTACAAGCCTACCGGGGGGCCTCGTCGCGCGAGGGCAGCGAGACCCCCGGCGGCGGCAGCAGCGGCGGCGGTGGTGGCAGCGGCGGTGGTGGCGGCGGTGGTGGTGGTGGAGGCGGTGGAGGCGGTGGTCGGGGCGCCGGCGCGGCGCCCGCAGCAGCGGCGCGCAGAAAGAAGCGCAAGACGGTGGTGAAGGGGAAGCTGTCGTTTGGCGGCGAGGCGGAGGAGGAGGAGGAGGAGCAGCAGCAGCAGCAGCAGCAGCAGGAGGCGGCGGCGACACCGGAGCCGGGGGAGGGGGCGGGGGACAAGAAGAAGGGCGGCGGCAGCAGCAGCAGCGGCGACGAAGCAGCGGGAGACGTGATGGCGGCGGCAGGCGAGGCCAAGAAGCGCAAGGTGAACCCGAAGCTGCGCGCGCCGCCGCCAAAGGTGCTGACCAAGAACACGCTGCTGCGCGAGGCGCAGGAGCGCGAGACGCTGCGCCGCGAGTTTCTGGCGCTGCAGGAGAAGATCAAGAACGAGGAGATCAGCATCCCGTTTGTGTTTTACGATGGTTTGTCCTGCCCCCCCCCCCTCTCCTTCCGAGCTTTTGGTCTTTACATCATCATCATCATCATCACCATCACCATCACCACCACCATTCCCCAAAGCACAGCACAGCACAAACTGACCGCCAGCCCAACCACACACACAGGCACCAACGTCGCGCCCCCCGACGGCTCCGGCGTCCAGGTCAAGAAGGGCGAGATGGTATGGCTCTTCCTCGAGCGCGCGCGGCGCATGAGCGGGCGCCGCGAGTGGCTGCGCGTCTCGGTCGACGATCTTCTGCTCGTGCGCGGGGAGGTCATCATCCCACATGTATGTCCCCCCCCCCCCCCCCCCACACACACACACCACCACACACTAACACACACACACACACAGCACTACGAGTTCTACTACTTCATCGTCAACCGCACCCAGGGCCCCAACGGCACGCTCTTCGACTACCCCTCGCCGCTGGACCCGCCGCTGCCCAGCGGCGAGCCCGCAACTACCGCCCAGGGCGGCAAGGAGGACCCCACTATGACAAAGGTCGTCGACCGCCGCTGGTACGAGCGCAATAAGCACATCTTCCCTGCGAGCGTGTGGACGGAGTTTGACCCGAATACCGACTACCGCAATATGGTCAGGAGGGACCAGGGCGGGAATGCGTTCTTCTTTGGGTAGCCGGGGGTGGGTGGGTGGGTTGGTGGGTGGGTTGGTGGGTTGGGGGGGGGTGGTTTTTTTTGTTTTCTTTCTGTTTTTGAGATGGGCTATATAGAGCTTCTTCTTTTGTTCTTTTGGCTTGCTTGCTTGTATTTGTATTTGTATATGTATATGGTGCTTCTTTTCTCTCTCTTTTTTTTCTTTCTTTCTTTTCTTTGGCTCGGCTGGTAGGTAGGTACATGTAGTATTCGTCTTCTTTTTAGCATTCACTGGGAACGCATACATACATACATACATACATGCATACATACATACATCACAAAGAAATACAGTCAACTTTGGGGGCAACGGCGGATCTGGGACAACGACGAAAAACACAGATTTCAGCCAAACAAGTGGTTGGTTGGATACCAGCCTGAGCGCCCACTGGCTTGACTGGCAAAGACCCCTGTGAATCGTCGTTCAACCAAGACGACGACTATACCTAACTCTACCAATTAAAAAAAAGAGCTCTTATTCTCACTCGTCCAGCCAGGCACCGGAATTTTTAAGGGTCCAACAAAGAGAAACAGGCACGCACACAGCAGCTCAACCAATGAGAAAGCCCGGAAAAAAATAATGTTCAGTAACGACAACGGCAGGGTTTGAACCTACGCTCCCGAAGGAATCAGATAACCGAATGAGAGATTCAAGTCTGACGCCTTAACCACTCGGCCACGTTGTCCTGCCCCTCCCGCCCTTAATGGGCTAAATATTCTCGCGTTTCCAAGCCCACGCTCGGACTCATGCGCAATCACTCGGAAAGGGTTACACTCACAACCTTTTTTTCGCTGGTCGGGATTTGCATGTAGATGATGCACGGTATGGTATGGTACTTGTATGGCGCTCGGGTGGGTTGAGGGATGCCCGCACACGTAGCACCCACGACGCTGTCAATACGCTGAACTCATCACTATCGATTGGCGGGTGGTCCGGTTGTGCGCGCGCGAACGATGAAAAAAAAAAAAATTTAGGCCTCACCCCGCCCCACCTCACCACATCGCAGCCCTGCGCTGCCACCACCACAAAAACAAATGCCCTACAAACATAACACAGCATAGTTCAATCCTTCGGGCGCGAGCGATGCTGTAAAAATTGCAACCATGACCGGAGGGGGAGTTTAACAACCTAAAAGTATTTCCGTTTTTTTTTCAAAACGGAAGACAACGTGGTCGAGTGGTCAAGATGTTAGACTTGGATTTGTTTTTGGTTATCTGATTCCTTCGGAGCGTAGGTTATAAACCCTGCCGTTGTCGGTAAATCTCCCTTTTTTGTTGCCCTGGCGGGCTATAGATACAGTTAGTATCTCCAGTAGTCTTCTTTTCCTCCATGCATGGGACAGGGGTTCTCCTTTTTCTAGAGACTCGGGGGAAGAAGGGTTCTGGGAGTGATTTGTTATGCGCCAGACTCGTTCTCGTTCTGTTGTGAATACTTCGACGTCAAGAATCGATAAAGGAGCACCCATTGCGGTATAGCTGTGGACACTGATTCGTACCTATCCTAAGGCTGCTAGCCCTCACCAGAACCGAATATTTCGTATGTGAACCGAAAACAGACCACAGTTTATGTTTTTTTTATGATGGATGAACCGATGACCGTGCCGAGGGCTCCAGTTTCAAGTTCTCATAATACAGCTTGTATGTATGTAGTCTCATTCTTTTGTCACGACCTCCGGGGATTCCGAGGAGAATTTCGAGTGATGACCTGTGAATGCGATCCATTGTGAATTTGAAAAAAATAAATAAATAGCAAGTTGACCAAGGGGCTAGATAGATGAACTTATCTGCCTCTGGGAACTGTATGATTGCACCAGGCTTAATCACTAACATTGGAACTTCAACGCCCCTTTAACTCCAGATACCGCAAAGAAAGAAAAAAAATAGAAATAATAAAAAGAATAATTATGACTCTTGGTCATTTTCGCCAAGACCCCTTAGTCAGTCACTAAACATTGCCAAGCCTCATACCTCCTTTTAGATGCTGTCCAAGACGGGTGTCCTCGAGCGTTGTTTCGCTGGCAAGCCCACTTCAGACTTCACTCCCCATATTATCAAGCTATCGCCATTCCTCAACCCAATCTTTCAATTAGTTAGCACCGTTTCACTTGGCATCTCTGAGGTCCTGGGGTGGGGGGGAGGCATACATCACTAGGAATCTTTCCGTCAAGATTGGCAACCATCAAGGTTGAAGAATCGGGATCAAGCACCTCCATGCCCTCTCTCCAGGACGACGGTCCCAGCCCCAACTCCTCAAAGTGTATGTCTGGACTCCACTTTGTCTCTTCAAGGACCTTTTCGCCAATCGTTTTCAACGAGAGCGGGAGGTTTCGGAAGACCTCAATTGAGCAGTCGTGGTGTACATAGTTGTATTGATATCCTTCCATCCCCGAATTGACAGCCCTTAGGCGCAGCTTGAGTTTCTCTTGGGGCGGTTCTAAACTGCTTAGATTATCAAACGACAGGAGTCGCGGGAGCGGCCGCGCTGCTGGGGGGGAGGGAGCCGGATCATCAGTTGCCGAATAGTACCCCAGGTTCTCGAGCGACATGAGGCGCGAGGGCGAGCGTATTGACGGCGAAGCGAGCGCATCATCGATTACTGTGCCCGGCGTTGCTGGTGGCTCGGGTGTCATTGGGGGTTCAGGTGTAGCCGGCGGTTCAGGTGTGCCCGGCGATTCAGGCGCGGGGGTTTCTCGATATTCCTCCTTAACTAGCACCAATGATGACTTGCGGGCGCGGTTTTCTGTCAATGGCACAGTGGTAGTTGTTACATTGGTGAAGGATTCCGTATCGCCAAAGCCCAGCATTGGTCTTCGGACTGACACCTCCGTGGTAATTGTGGTGATTGTTCCGGGTAGAAGAAGTATGGCATCTGTTGTGTTGTTTTCCGGCAAGTAGGATCGATCAACCGGATCCGGGAATTGCGCTTTCCGGGTTTTGAACTCGGTTTTCGTAGTTGTTGTCCCATCTTTCGCTATTTTGATCGTAACTATCATGATGTTTGTCATGACCGAGTCTGGTGGTAGAGCTTGGCGGGTTCGCTTGAAAGGATTCATGGCTGCTCAATTCAGTAGTAACTGTAGCGAGAAGTCAATTGATCAGAGATGCTCCACTGGGCCGCACTTATACCGCTGGGTGAGTTGTGCCGTGTTGAAAAAAATGAGGTCTCCTGAAGACCCAAGTAACGGTAGGGCACACCGGTTGCCGTCTGTACCTAGGCTTTGTTTTTCGGCGTGTAGTAGTGGGATACCCGGAGGCTTTTCTGTGCCTTGGAGCTCTCTTGGTTCGTCCTGCATACACGTATCCACCAAAGCTCCCCTATCCCGCTTTTGATCGCCATCTGGACCATCAACGTTTGTTTGGTTTGGTACCCGCCTCTCCAGCACCGCGGTTGAGGTCTGTGGGCCGCCTCGGTTGCTAGTTTGGAGTGTTTGTAACAGCTATTTACGCCAGCCGTTGTTCTGGTCCACATCAGAATTGGAGCTGGATTCAGTTCAGAGTGTTCGTATGTGATTGAAAAGTATTACTCAACCTCTGATCCAGAGCCTTTTACCCCGAACAGTTCAGACTGAACACTACTTGGGGGTAAATAAGGGAAAGTCAGCTCATGAAAGGCCAGGGTCCCTGGGGCTATAATCAATATGAGGATATTCCTTCTTCCGGAGTACAGGTAGCTGATTGATTAATAGCTTCTGGACTCTTCCCCCTATATGATCCCGACAAACTTTGGCAATTATAGTGACCCACTAGGCTATTTGAGCCTTGAACGGACCCTTTAGCCGCAGCGCGTTTATGCCGCTTCACCGCTCAGCCCCTCATCGGGGACTTCCAGGAGCTGGAATGCCATGAGAGGAAACACATTTATATAGACTATAGCTAAGTATCCCATTGACGCCTTAATGTTAGCCCTTGCTGGCGGAGTATAAGGTACACAAGGGGGTGAGAAAGTCACCATGGAGAGATATACCTGCTTGTCAAGAACTTCTGCGTAACGTGGTACTTGTGGGCAGTCACACTCTCAGACCTCTCACCTTTACTTGGATGCATGAGTGGGGTGGGGTGAGGTTAAAGTTAGGTTACGTACCTTAGGATACTTTGGATGCCAAGACGTTATTTCCAGGTACAAACCCCGTTTATGCATATTGTGTGGAAGGCAAGGGAAGGGGGAGAATGAATCTAGTTTCCACCCATGATCAGTGGTAAGCAGTTGGGTGGGGTTGCAACCTGATATTATCTGATAATACATTCGAGTGATACTATATGACCGTAAGTTGCTTTTAGTTGATCATGCTTGATTACTTGATTGATTGATTGATTGATTCGTTAATATGACCATCAGCTGTAATGATTGATTGATTTATAGTCATTAATTGTATCGAATATTGACCGTCAGCTATAGGTGTCAGGTATAAAGCGAAACATACCAGTAAATACGCTTAATTGTGATCTTATGCGAGTAGTATTCTCGATAATAGCATATCCTCGATTGTAGCATATAGTAGGGCAATCTTAAATGAGCTGGTACAGGCAAAGTTGTTCTTAATAGAAGCATATCTTCGATAATGGCACACAAAAATCCGTTCCCGACCATATTCTATAATCGAGCCTCCACTGTATCCTGTATGAGAAGTTTTAGGCTCCCGCAAAGTAACGTATTCTACATGTCGCAGTCCGTTGACAAATCTAAACACTTGGTATAATTGTTATCAGTGAAGGACGCAAGGCAAGTTAACTTCAAATACCGGGGTGATCTTGTTTCATCCTTAGTTAACGTGTACATGTATGCATGGTTGTGTAGTTTAGCTCTTAAAACTCACATGCGGGAAACAAAAAGAAAGTAATATTATCAAGGCACTTCGACTTCCTAGACAGCCTGACTAAGCTCACCAGGTCTTTCCTCGTGTCTATAACTATATGTATCTGTTTTATTTCTTTATGAAGACTGTTACTTTGGGCGAATAAATATAAAGCCTCGAAAAGTGCAAGATAAAAATTGTATCGATTGTGATGAAGATGGAGGAAATTTAAGTAAATCAACAGACGAGTAGAAGGAAATAGATGGGAAACCCTTAGATACATAGGACCTACGTATGTACATGTAGTGTTCGGCTTCCGTAGGATTATTTCGGTGTTTAATTAACGGCTGTATGTAGTAACATGTATTCACAAGTTTAGTACCCAGTGAGCTACTATACTTGTACTTATAATTATCCTCGAGCTGATGGGAAAAGGTATGTACATGTGTAGCGCGATATCGAAAGTCATGGACCGACAGACTTATAGTTTCTCCACGTAATATATGTTTCTTTTTGGCGCTGGTATTCAAGGTGACGTAACGCAGGACGTGTTTAACCAAATTTTAAAAGACACCTCGAGCTCATTAATTTTTCTTGTTTCAAGTCATCTTTTTGGTGTTCCTGGGCGAACGTCAAGTTCTTACTCTTCTCAACCACCCACTATTACTCTCTGTAACTCGTTTCTCGACATTCTGTCTGAAACCGACCAATCTTTTCACCTATAGAAATTTAATGGACCGAGTCATTGAATAACTATACCTGAAGGAGCAGTTATACACCCAAAAATACCAGAGTACATGGAAGAGGTTGTGGTCAGCAAAAACATTGAAGCCAGTACGAGTATGTTTTGGCTTCTACCATTGCCATACTACCAAGACTCAGGATGCCTGTATCTACGTTAATTATAAAGATGTGGGGCATATAAGGGTTCCTGATATACACGAGGGGTTCTCCCCATTCCTCATTAATTCTGTGTACTTGGTATCACTAATCGTTCTTTTCATAGAAGATGATATGTCTTCGGCTGTTGGAAATCATACGCATAGTATTGTTGAATTTGAAGGTTCTACGATACAGCCTACAGCTATATAAAGGGATCTCAACATGGTTTTATAAAAAGCAAGAACTCGAAACAGAGGAGACAAGGCCGCCCCATGACCCTCAGATTATAAAGAATGAGATTCTCGGGAAGAATCTGATCTTTTCTGGTAAGAATACTTTCAGTTTTCTCGAATAAATCATGCTTGCAAGGCATAAAAATTGTAGTGAGGGCCACTTTCGAGTTAATATTCACCTTCTCAAGAGAGGTCCTATTTACTATAATGTCGATGGATGTTTTGTTGCCCATAAAGTCTGTGGGGGTGCTCTTTTAAGCGGGTACTTCACTGTGAAAAGCCAGAAGACGGCGAAGGATGGGGAGAGGCTTTATGGGAGAAAGTGGAACTTACGGAAGAGTGGTTAATC